AGCGCAGCATGGAGCTATATGGCTCAGGGAGGCTTTGAAAGACCATTTTAATAGTGAGCCAAAGTATGTGCATTGCTCTAGCATGCTCTACCTGGCCTTGCTCTTCTGTGGCCCGGTATGAAACTTGTAGTGAGTGCTGTGTATGTAGGAATATAATGTTGTCAGTGCCGCTATTCATATTGTTTCTGAATGATGTTATGGGTTCTGTGACACGGTGCAGTAACATGAAATTGGTCACTGTCAGACCTACTCAGCACCAGCCAGCATATGTTGTGAACTAATAAAGATGAATTTTGTTCCAAAAAATAGAATTTTATTCTGTAACATGAACCAGGTAATTGAATATATATATATAACTTAATAAGTTAAGACAACAGAACTTATGAAGGGGAAAGAAGAGTCATTTCCATTTCAGCTACACATACATCAACCGTGGCTTTCACAGGTCAGGGCATGTGAATCTGTGATCGTCTTTATTGTCCCCCCGGGTGGTAAGGGCCATGCAGCAGCTGCTGGTGCCACGTGGAATGGTGAGGGGGGTATGAAGAGGTCCCAATATTGAGTTATCTATGGGCTGCAGAGGGAGGTGAGCACAGGATTGTTGAACCTGCAGGTCCACCAGAGTCTGCAGCATCCGTTTGTTGTCTGAGAAGCAGATACATGTCCAGCTGCATGTCCCTCTCCTTTTCCTCTATCTTTCTCCTCTCCACTCTATCCTTCTCCATACTGGCTGCTCAACTGTTAGAACTGGCTGGACTGTGGTGGAGTCAAAAATAGTCCTGGGTCACTGCACAGCTGGATCCCCTAGTTGCCTGTCCCCCATACTACTCCTCCTCTTCCTTGTCCACCTCCTCCTCCTCGCTGTTCAAGGCAGGGGCCTGTGACTTGGGCTCCTCGGAAGTATCCACGGTGCTCTTGGGGGGGGGAGTGTCTCTGCCAAGGATGGCATGCAGCTCTTTGTAAAAGTTGCAGGTGGTCTTCTTGGCACTAGATCGATTATTGGACTCCCTTGCCTTCTGGTATGCCTGCCACAGCTCCTTGGATTTCATGCAGCACTGCTGCTGGTCCCTGTGGTAGCCATTCTCCTGCACGTCCCGAGCAATCTGCTCCTAGATGTCCACGTTTCTACAGCTGATTCGGAGCTGTGCCTGTACAGCCTCTTCTCCCCACAGGCTCAGGAGACCCAATATCTCCTGCCTTCTCCAAGCAGAACTGTGTCTGGAGTGTGTAGCTGGCATGATCAGAAGGGCAGTTACACTCAATAATGGAGAGCTGCTAGATGTGCTCACCAATTTCAAAAATTCGTGAAGCTTTAAAGGGGAGTGGGGGCTTCCCTTCTACCTGACCCTTGGGCAACGGAGTTCACAATGGTGACCAGAGCAGTCAGTTTGGGGCATGTGGGCTGGCTGCTGGAAGTCAACGTAAATAACACAGTGTCTACACTCCTAACTACATCGACTGTGACTAGTCCGCTCAGGGAGGGGGTGTTATTAAATCAGCCTAGCAGGTCACTTATGTCGGCAGGAGCCAAATTTAAGTGAAGTCACATCCACAGATAGGTTGATGTAAGCTGCCTTGTATCAACCTAACTGTGTAGTGTAGAGCTGGTCTTAGTGACTGAGGTTCATGTTAGGGTGGCCCCTCAATTAGGCCATATTAAGTAAAGTTCTGCTATAGTCATGCAATAAGAAAATCGCTATGTCTCTTGATCACCTTGACAAATAAGTGTTTCTAAACAAATACGGTCTGCTCCTGAGGTCTTTTTCCCCACTTTACCAATAGATGGCAGGAAAGGGTTCATTTAGACCACTGGCTTACACAAATATACCACAATGCTACCCCCCCAGATGATGCTGAAGAAGTTGTCTTGCATCATCCTTGTGAACTGATGACGGATCCAATCCAAGTCTCATTGCAGTCAAAGAGAGCTGGAGCAGGCCCTAGCTGCATGGGAGATGGCATGCCTGCTGCACATCATGCAAAGGGCTAAAGATGCCTGCGTTGCCCAGTTGCACATAAGTTAAAATAAACATCCTGAATATTTGAATATTTATCCGAACCACCCCAAATTTTCACCTTTGGAGGTTCACCCAAAAACATCTTTGAATGTATTCCAGATGTTTTTGAAAATTATTAAACATTTTAGAATTACATTAAATCTTATCTTTGAAGTGGGGACAATTCTTTTATATCAACTTTTTAGTCCTATTTCAGTGGACTGCTGACGAAATGCCAATGTATTGAGGAAGCTTTCATACATCTAAAACATAGGCTAAGCTCAGTTTTAATGTGTTTGATCAATTTTAGTGGTTTCTACTTTATAAGTAAATTTCATAAAAGAACCATGGCTGCTTGATTTTCAGAGTCCTTAGGTTTTACTTCATCTCTGACACATTTCCATAGTGGAATTACATTAAAATATGGAGGATCCAGAAATGCTTTTTAAGTTCTCCAAGGTCAAAATGGTCCCAGTTTAAGCATCTTTTGAGCTGATTTTCAAAGGTACTGAGCAGTCACAGCTCTTGCTGAAGCTATTGATTTCAATGGATGTGAGTGTCCAGCCTATTTAAAATTCAGATAATTTATTTCTTCAGTTGAATAGATTTCTGAAGAGTTTCAGGCTGACATCTCAACCTTATCTTCCCACTGAATAAAAATGTACGGGGGCCCCTGCTATGTATATGGAAGCAACTGTAACTACCATGCTGTGGCCTTGTCTTCCTTAGGAAGAAAAGATGTGGTTTTACTTCATGTTGGCTAATATGCGGTAACTAACACAAAGTACAATCCTAGTGAAGACAGGACCGTGTGCAATTTTAACATGAGTTAGCAAGTCAAGGTAAACCCTAGGATCCTCCACAGTCTTTACTTCAACCTGCTAACAGGTGTGAAAACAACAAACTACTTTGTCTTCACTAGGATTTTACCTCATGTTACTTACCATGAACACACTTTTTTTCCTAGTGAAAACACCCTCAGGGCTAAATCCCCACTGGCCAGAGTAGAGCTCAGTGCAGATGAGGGATAGGAAACAGCCTCTGGAGCACATTAGAGCTGCCCTAAGGATTCCTCTGAATAGCACCAGTTTATACCACCCCACCCTCTGGGCTATTATAGAAGCAACATGAGTCAGACCACATTATATTCTGATCCCAACTCCTTGAAATAGTCTTCTCCTACTCTTGATCTTGGGGGCTTGCATAGAGCCAGCTATGATGGCTTTAAGAACAATGGGGATATGTCTACACTGCAATGAAAGCCCTGGCTCAGACTCAGGCTCAAGCCTTAACCCCCCATCTGTCTACACACAAATCTCTTGGACTTGGGCTCGGACCCAAGGTCGCAAAATCCTAGATGAGTGGAGGGTCCAAGCCTGAGTCCAGCCAGGACCCAGGGTTCAAGCAGTATTGTTTTGCCGTGTGCATGCAGCCATGCCAGACTTAGACCCTGGGAGTCCATCTTCACTATCCCACAATCCCATGGTCCAGTGTTTTTTGTCCTCTTTATCCCACAAGTCACCAGTCAACTTTCAGGAAACAGAAGCAACCCCCCTTCCCCCGATTTTAGCACAGCAGCTTGGCATTTAACCCTTCAATTTTATTCTGACTGCTGAGCAACACACTTCCAGAGAATCTTCTGCATTTGCAATGGCCACCAATCAGAAGTCGTCCTTTACAAAGAGCCCTGCTTAAGAGTCATGGGAGTACAGCCAGATTTTGGTTAATCTCCGGTGCCTAACCAGCAAAACAGCTAATTTCAGTAGGAGTATCAGAAATGACCATGCATACCAGAAAATAAAGAAGAAGCTGGCACAGAACTTGCAGGAGAGATGGAAGAGACAGAAGCACCCCAGAGCCTGGTAAGTTTATGGCTCCATTTTTATGTTTATTAACATAGAAATGCATTCTATGAACCAATGCAAAAGTTATTACAAACCTTGGGTAGCAGCATGCTTCTGGATGGCATGCCAGTGTTTTGGTGTCCCCTCACTGCCCACCACATGTAAATAAGAATGGAGACTGGGAAACACAAACAGTAAAAGAAGCATTGTAAAGATTTTTTTTTTCTGGGAAGGTGCATATTTTTTGCTACAACATTCCAAATGAAAACAGTGAATTGTGGTGGAGTTGGCGAGAAAAGGTTGAAATGTAACCCTTTTTCAAATGTAATCCATTTCTGTTAAATGCAATGCTTGCAGTCTGTGGGTGATGACATCGTGCATCCCAAATATGACAGGTTTTGAATTCAGTCCAGAAATATGCTGGGGAATGGTGGGGGGAGACCAGGGGTGGGGAAGAGGGATGGCAGTGAAGTTCTGTGTGTTTGCTTGCAGTCATAACAGGCTGTATTGGAAGCTGTGGGGAGACACTAAGCCATGTGGATGTTAGCACAGCATCTTTTTGATTCCTTCATGAATTGTGACCCAATCCTGGGTGCTGACAGCTGCAAACTTTCCCTTAGCAGGAACTCCAGATAGGTAGTCATATTTTGGGGAAGGGCATATTTTTCAGGTCCATCTCAGTAGCTGACCAGCACATTCAGTTTGTAAATGTGCTGTTTGGTCACCATCTGCTTAAATACTTCAAGGGCATGCACAGCTGGTTTCCCACTGGCAGCTTGGAATAACACCTCTCTGCCAATCAGGCACCACAAAATCCGTTATGTCCTCCAAAATGTGGAATGTCTGAAGCATCAGAGAAGGTTTATGTAGCATGTCTCAGCCACTGATCTCCCCCCAAAGCCCAGGTGGTCTGCAATTGATAGGGAAAAAAGCAGTTATGATTTTTTTAACTTACCATGTTCTCTACACCTCTTTCACTGCGATAACCAGGCTGTGTCCAGGGAGTCTGTGGTCTGAGGCATCCCTCTCTCAATATATTGTAGTTCAGTATTAAAAAGTAACATTTTAATTCCTTGAAATTCCAAAACAGATTTTTTTTTCTGTGCTCCTGCACTGAGCAACTTGAGACAATAATTCACTGTGTCTTGTCATATTCCAGGCCCATCAACCTCGGCTGGCTGCAATACCTCCTCAGCTCGCCCACACTGGAGCGGAAGCCTGAAACACCATACCTTCCTGGATCATTCCAAAAGGAAGCGCTTCCATGTTGAATTTATGATTGAAGTTCTGGACAGGACCAACAACCAGGTCCAGTACGTAAGACAGAGGGACTTTCGGCAAGAGGAAATCATGCTGAGAGGCAAAAGGAAAGGCTCAGGCTGGCTTCACAGTTGGAGCTCAGAGTTGGAGCAGACACTTGCTTTGCAGTTCCTGGAACAGGAACGGTGGTTAAGGGAGGATGAGAAAGCTCAGCAGAAAGAACTGTTTGGGCGGATGCCATCTCTAATGTCCGCAAGACTGCAGGTTCCTGCTGCATCAGTCCCGTGGCCAGCATCCCCTGGGCAATACCCTGTCCAGCAGTCCAGGAACAGCTTGGACAACTCCACGACTGCGTGGCCCATGCAACCAGGCCCTGTCAGTGGCTGCACAGGGCAAATGTGTCCCCATGAAGTCCTCCAGGCTACACCCTTCCCCTCTGGGCACCTTCACTCCCCTTCCCTGGCCCCAAGTGGGAGGCAAACATGGAAGGAAGGACAAGGGGAATGGAAGGTCAGGGGACTCATAACAGTCGGGGGTTTCTGTCTTGTAAATGGTTTCACTTTTTGTACATGTACATGCACTTTGTTCTGTTTTTAAGGTTTTGGTGTCAGTAGTGTGCTAACGGCAGCTGGCCTGTCTAGCAATGGTTAATATTGTACCTTTCCAACAAATATTTAAAAATAAAGGATTTTCTTTTATTTTAAAAAATGGTATTGCCATCACTGCATCACATCATCTAATGTGTGTTTCAAATAATAAAAGCGACACATTATCAGGGACAACTGGGAAGCTATATGCAAAAAATAATTCTCAATACAGCTATCTACATCAATGAGTTATTTACATCAATCCATATTGTGAGTCCACCCTCCCCCCATCTCATAAGCTGCCATATCATTTATAAATACAATGCATGGCAATAAAACCCTCCCCCACAAGCAATGAAACCCACCATACACACATACCTTCATAAAAGGTACTGTTCTCCCTCTTCCATGGGCACATGCAAGTCCATAATGTGGGAGCACAGAGCATCCTTGACTTCTGTTGCCCTGATTCATCCAGCTCAAGCTGGGTGTACTGCTTCAGCAGTCCATCACTGTGACAGATCCATTCGGGGGAAATGGCTCACCTTCGGATTCACAAAGATTGTGAAGAGCACAGCAAGTCACAGTCATCCAGATAGCGCTGATGACACTGGAATCCAAACAGGTCTGTAGATATTACCACCAGGCTGTCAGTCTGCCAAATGCCCATTCAACCACCATTCTACACCTGCTGAAAGTGTAATTAAACCTTCTTTGCCAGAGCCTCTGAGACCAGGATATAATTTCATAAGCCAAGGCAAAACGGGATATGTGGGGTCTCCCAGAATAACAGTGAGGACAGCAACTCCACTTATGAAAATGTCATTTGGTGGGACTAGTGGCCCAGCCTGTCCATGAATGTAGATTCCCAACTGTCGGAAAACCTGGCATCATGACCTTTACTAGTGCAGCCCACAGTGATGTTCATTAATCAGCCGCTGTAGTCTACGAGGGCCTGCATAACAATGGAGTAGTAGTAACCTTGGCGGTTTAATGTGCTCCTTGAGGAGGGCAATCTATGGGCACGTGAGTCCCATCAGTGGCCCCAGTGCAATGTGGAAACCCCATTCTCTCAAAGCCAGCAATTACTTCAGGAATATCTTTTATTCCTGTCACATTGAGGTAAACCACATGCCAGATTGCCTCAGAAACCTCTGTCACCACTTTATTCAGAGTCACCTTCCCAACACCAAAGCAGCTGGCAACAGACTTGTAGCAGTCTGGGATAGCCAGCTTCCAGACAGTTGTAGCAACTCACTTCAGAACCAGTATGGGCGCTCTCCTGCACGTGTTGTGATCCAGGAGGGTTGGGGCAAGCTGTTTAGAAAGCTCCATAAATGAAGCTTTCTTCATGTGAAAGTTCTGGACCCACATCTGCAGGACGATGTGGCCTCTCCAGTCTGTGCTTGTGGCCCTGCTCCAGAAGCATCCACCTACATAGGGGGCATCAGCAGCTACATAGAGTGTCACAAGCAGCCTGAGCAAGTTGGATGTCTGCCAGGTGTCTGTGTCCTCACACCCACCCTATCATTAGCTCTGTCAGATGCCTACAATGGGTCAGAAAACGCTGCTGAAATGTCCACCACTATCTCAAGGAAGCTCTGCCAATTTCCAGAAACAGGAATGAAAGCGCAAGTAAGAGAAGTTCTTCACATGGTGCCTCCTCCAAGTTGCTGTCTCTGATTGCTGGGAGCATGCAGATCAAAAGGATGGCTCTGCAGGATGTGTTGGTGGGCTGCTCAAACCTCCTGTAACATATGGGGTGGACAGTCGAGTTTTCCCACACTGCCATGAACAAAGGGCCAGAGTGGCCACATTTTGGGAGAGTGGTAGGAAGTCTGCAGTACTCCAGTGAGGATGCTGGAGCCCCAGGTTTTGGCCTGAGTTAAAATATTCTTCATCTAGGGTCAGCAATCAGTGTAGATGCTCAGACCCTGGTTTCTCAAACTCAAGGTTAGCTGACTCAAGTTCCACTGACCCTGGGCTTCCACTGCAGTGCCGACATACCCTGGGAGACTTCTTGGCTACCTATTTATTATAACTTCAGTAGCACAAAGGGCCCTTAGGACAAACCAGCATCTTGCCCTTGCATCTGAATTCTACTCATATCATAGCATTGATGCTGATTGTTTTCTTTCATTCCTTTCCAGTACTCTTAACTGTTCTTCTTTTGTCTTAATTAGCTCATCTCAAGGCCGTGTTGTAAATGAGTATACTGAAGCCCAGCTGCAAGAGATTGTCAAAAAAATGAGGGCAAGGACATCAGCCTATAAAGAAAAACTGACTGACCCACTACAGTCCTCTCCTGAGAGCAGCCCTACAACTTGTAAGTTGCTTTAGTTCTCAAAAGATAACTATTTATTTGGTGGTTTAAAGAGGAAAGTCCTATTCTGAGAGTTTAAAATGCTGGAAGATAATATTTCAAGAATCATGGATCAACTCTTCATTTGGGATAAATCAGCATATCTCTACTGAAATCAATGGAGCTGTGTTAGCAGTGGCTCTCAACTTTTCCAGACTACTGTACCCCTTTCAGGAGTCTGATTTGTCTTGTGTACCTCCAAGTTTCACCTCACTTAAAAACTATTTGCTTACAAAATCAGACATAAAAATACAAACCTGTCATAACACGTTACTGAAAAATTGCGTACTTTCTCATTTTTACCACGTAATTATAAAATAAATCAATTGGAATATACCGTAAATATCGTACTTGCATTTCAGTGTATGGTATATAGAGCAGTATAAACAAGTCAATGTATGAAATTTTAGTTTGTACTGACTTTGCTAGTGTTTTTATGTAGCCTGTTGTAAAACTAAGCAAATATTTAAATGAGTTGATGTACCTCTGCATACCCCCAGGGGTACATATACTCCTGGTTGAGAACCCCTGTGTTAGCTTACAGCAGCTGAGAATGTGGCCCTATTTAAACCCATTGAGGCACCTCATTAAAAAGTTTTAATAGAGGTAAGTCTCCAACTACGACTGTTCAGGATCACCATTTTCAAACTACTTTCTAGATTCATCTCAGTTATTTTATCTGTATTCCTAGGGATCAAAGATATATTCCTTTATGTTATGGGAAGGCATATGTGGCAATATGCTACATGCGGGCACATAGGTGATACTGAGATGAGATATCTTTTGTAAAAGTAAACAAAGTTTAAGGTCTGGCGATAATCTTCCGGCACCATTAAATATGCCAGGTATGTAGGTGAGAATGGGATCCGGCAGCACAAGGCAATACATCTCACCTGAAAATAATTAAACATAGTACTGATGTTATTCCTCTTCAGAAAAAAGCTTTGTTTTCTTCCTTTGCTCATATTCTGCATTTTTTTCAGAAGCTATTTATTGATCTCCTGAATTCTAATAAGTTGGAAAATATAGCATGTAGGATGAGTGTCAGGATGAGTGTCTAAACTATTATAAACTTTGCCAGCTAAGAAAGAAATGGTCAGATTTTTTTTAATTACTTCTGTGTCAGTTAACCTATTACCCCTCTCTCTGGCACTTACATTACTTTATTTTTTAAATTATAGATGGTCCAGTTTGCCAATTTACTACTCATACTCAGTTCTGTCTTACTCTGCAAGTTGCCCCACTGAAATCAAATGACTACTTTTAGAGTAAGAAACTCAGCTCAAGTGTGGCAGAACGGGTCCCAGAGCAATTCTATCCCATCCATGGCAAGTTTACAACAGTTATGCAAGAATAAATGCCTGGGTGCCTCCTGCCTTACCCCATCTCAATTCTGCAAGTGTTTAATTGTACAAGCATTGACTGTCCAGGGAAAGATAGTGTAGTATCACGTTTCCCTCTGTGACACCCAGCACTAAATATCCCGTTGGTGTTAGCAGGAGTGTGCCTGCCTATGTCAGTGTGAATTTATTCTCCAATCTGTTTTCTAACTGAAAACAGAACTGAAAATTGTAGCAGTAAACACTAAGGAGTCGATTGCATGGCCTTTAATACGTTGGGGCTCTCAAGATCCGTCACAAGAGTGACAGTGTGCATGTCCTTGTTAAATGTTCCCTTCTGTGACATTTGCATGCTTAGCTCCATCTAAAAAGAAGCCTCCGCCTCCACCCCCACCAAAAGAAGAGAAAAAAGATGAAGAAAAAAAAGAGGAAGGTGATGCCAAGCCAGAGGATCATTACTGTGACATGCTGTGCTGTAAATTCAAGAAACCACCATTGAAAGAATACCTGAAGAAGATGGAGCTACCAGACAGTATAGATGCATACACAGGTAAACCGAATGTAGTCACACAAAGGAAGGTGTCAAAGGCGGGATAAAAAAAATTATTGCTTGTGTTAAAGTAGCATCTGGATGCCGTATCTGAAGTCAGAGCCCCACTGCACAAGTACCTCCCTGAAGAGCTGTCAGTGTCAATAGCCAAATGGTGAGAGTGAAAATAGAGGCACAAAGAGGCAAGGTGACTTGCCCAAGCTCACCAGCAGAGCTAGGAATACAAGTCAGGTCTCCTGATTCCCAATCCAATGCCTGATCCTCTAAGGCCACTGCCCCTGCAGTGCTGAAATGTCTTGGAAGCCTAACAAAGAGTTGTCGTGAAAATCCGACTCTACCCAAACTGGACAAGTTTTATAAGTACTCCCAAAAAAAGCCCTGCACAGGTATTTTTTGTTCAGTCTCTACCTTTTTCCCATTTTAAAGCCCTATTTTAAACATAAGTGAATCCAGCTCTCTTCCTTTAATAAATTCCATGTGTGACTCCTAGCTCTTACCAGACTCCTTTTAACAGACCATGCTGTGTTATACAAGGCAGAGGGTGATCTTCTCTGCTCCACAGAAACTGTTCTAGCTTAAATCCATCTAACAGGTTTGTTTCTGTTTTTAACTATAAGGGTTGGGATCTTTCAGAAAAGTATAAGTGTTCTGAAACCCACAAGTCAAAACAGTGAAATGAGTGAACTTCCACTCCTGAGTTTGAAGTGTTACACAGGTTTTTGACTGTAACTCACTAATTAAACTCAATGGTATTCTCATGTCTAAAATGCTGCGAAACATTCTGAAGACTCAGAGTATGTCTACACTGCAATTAAGAACCCATGGCTGGCCCATGCCAGCTGACTTGGGCTTGCGGGGCTCAGGCTAAGGGGCTATTTAACTGCAGTGTAGACATTCGGGCTTGGGCTGGAGCCCAGGTTCTAACGAAATGGGAGGATCCCAGAGCTCAGGCTGCAGCCGGAGCCTGAACGTCTACACCACAGTTAAACAGCCCCTTAGCCCAAACCCTGAGAGCCCAAGTCAGCTGGCAGGGCCAGCCACGGGTGTCTAATTGCAATGCAGATAGATCCTTAGAGATCTGTGTTTACGTGGCGTGCATTGTTGTAAACTACTATAAGGAACCTTTACAATGAATAGTTACTATGAACTGGAATAATCCCTATTTCTTTCTGGATATCTGGGGAAAGCAATTATAATTCCATTTATAAGAGTCTGACAACAAAAATGCTATAAGGTTATTTCTCTAGTTTTGTCTAGGTAGGCATGTAGATAGTACTCTAGCTGAAACCTGGGGTACCACGAAGGAGGAAACAGTAACATTAGAGTCTTTTTTTTAAAAGATCTCCTTCCTTAGCAATATGTCATAAGTTTTCAGAAATGTTATCTCACCTCATACTACATAGTGTTCATATTGCCCCTCATATGTTCAAAGCACTGAACTGATATGAACAGATTCATCCTCACATCACTCCATGAGTGAGGTGAATAAGTATTACTGTCATCAGCATCCCTGTTTGACAGATGGGGAAAAGGCAGAGAAGTGAAGTGTCTTACCCAAAGTTACACAGCAAGGGAATGGCTTAGTCACGATTAGAACTCAGGATTTCCTACCTCCCAGGCCAGTGTTTATTCCTCCAGATCACAATGTCTGGTACATTTGCAAATTGCTCTGCTTTCCTTGGAGGATGAGCCCTTTGTTCCCAAACAGAGAGAAATAAGAAGATGATGATTTCATACTGATTGAGTCACCAGCTCCTGTTTTCTTTTCCAGATCGCCGCTATGTAGTGTGGCTCCTGATTGTTACCATTGCTTATAACTGGAACTGCTGGTTCATTCCACTGCGCTGTGTGTTCCCAGTACAAACACCAAGCAACATATTCTATTGGATCCTCATAGACACCATTTGTGATATTTGCTACTTGTGTGATCTGTTGGTGTTCCAGCCCCGAAAGCAATTTGTAAAAGGTGGCGATATAATAGTAAGTAACAGTGGGAAGTGGAATTTCCACATTTGCTGTTGTACTTTGAACTATGTTATTAGACATGAAGCAGAAACTTGTTTAAACCTCAAATAGACTTTTTCTTGCAAGGCACACCTGCGCTTCTTTATTTAGCCAAGTATATTTATGTGCTTCTGCACTGATCTTCAGCTCTTTTGCTTTGGAAAAGAGGCAACATACATTTCATACTGTACATGCTACACCAGTATTCTGATTACACACAACAGCCATTGAAAAGTTGAAGGCGAATTCAAAAGTGTCACATGATAGCAGCAAGGTCAGATTTAAAGCTCTTACTCACCCAAATTACACAGCTGGAAAAGAGCAACTCAATGCAGCTTCTCTGGCAGCTGAGACCACATGGAAATATAGCCAAAGAAATGTGTCTGAAATTTGCAACTCTCCACAGAGTCACTCATATAGTACAGATGTTGCAGATGAAAACAGAGGCTTTTCTACGAGCCCAATTTTCTACGCTTCAATTACATATGGGGAACATGGCAAAAGCATATACAGAGGTCACCTAAATAAAAGCTTTGGCCACCTTTTAACATGACAAACTTTTTCCTTACAATATCCTTTGGTTAGAGATTTACTATTCAATTTCCAGCCTTGCAGCAAGTCTCAAAAAATCTGAAGTCAGTGATGAAAAGAAGGAAACAAGTAGAGACTACTTAGCTATCAAAAACATGCATCTGAAGAAGTGGGGTTTTTTACCCATGAAAGTTTATGCCCAAATAAATCTGTTAGTCTTTAAGGTGCCACCGGCCTCCTCATTGTTTTTAAGCATCTGATAGTAAGTAGAGAGGGCACTGATATTGACAAACACACTTCATCTAGAGCTGCATGAACAGAGTGGCTTAGGAAGGACTGGGATGTGGCAATTTATTTGAGAGGAGCTAGAAAATTCACTGAGGAGGGATCCATAAAGCCTCTGCTGAACTAAGGCTGGCAAAGAATATCTTGCAAAGTCAGCTTCTGAGTAAACTAACCATTTGGCCTACTATGCTCAGGTTGCATTATTCTACCTGGGCTCTCCTCCAGTGTCATTTCAGCCTAAGAGAATTTTCAGTACAACAGTATAATACTGACTGATTCCATCACACTCACTCACTTACTTCCTGACGCAGCTGAAATTCAGCAAGATTTTAGCTTCAGATTCCCCAGAGGTTCTGTGAGAGCAGAATGTAGGGCTCTCCATGGTGGAAAAATTGCCAGAGAGAGAGCGGGGGTTGCAGTGGTACAAGGCACCTGCCACCTCTCTGCCAGTGAGTAGGCTCACAAGTGACTAACACAGCCAAAAAATATCAGTGCTGCCAAGACAGCTAGGGGATGCACGGGCTCAGCACATTCGCTGAGCCTCCACTAGTGGGACTCCTAGGGAGACCCTGGCAACACTTAAAGTTAGGAAATGCTGCCTTCAATTGAGAGAGAGAGAGAGAGAGAGACCCCTGTGGAGTGTAGTGATGCTCACTGGCATGAAAAGATGTAGTTTCCACCATCTTATTGAGATATCCCCTCTCCTAGAACTGGAAGGGACCTTGAAAGGTCATCGAGTCCAGCCCCCTGCCTTCACTAGCAGGACCAAGTACTGATTTTGCCCCAGATCCCTAAGTAGCCCCCTCAAGGATTGAACTCTCAACCCTGGGTTTAGCAGGCCAGGGGTGACTCTAATCCACCATATCTGAAAGCGAACTGAACACAAGCAAACTTTGCTGTGCTCTACCGCCTTAGAAATTTTGAATCTACTGAAGAGTTACTGCTGATTTTCCTGCACATGTTCCCAATCCCAGTCTTGGAGCATCACCTTCCAGTAAACATGGGACCTGCCTGCAAATTTCAGACCCAAATGTGGACTTTTCCCTTTTTCAGAGGCATTCGGATCTGAGATTTCGGTTGGGCCCTTCTCCCCCTTGCATGATTACTTTGTTTCAGTAGCAAGTTTAATAAACAAATGAAATTAACATGCAAAAATGAGCTTAGATGACATCAGATATCACAAGTGCACAGCAACAAGAAAATTCAAAACCGAGGGTATGTCTACATTGCAACTGGAGATGTAATTGCGACTTGGATAAGCATCCACAAGCTAGTTTTAATCTAGCTAGTGCAGCTAAAAATAGCAGAAAAGACACAATGGCACAGACCTCGGCACAGACTAGGAACATGAGTACATAGTGAGGGGTATATATTGGTTTGTACAACCCCCCCGTCTCATCATCACTGTTATTTTTAGCCACACTAAATTAAAGCTAGCTTGTGTATGCCCACATGAGTTGCAATCACACTTCCATTTGCAATGTAGACATACACTCAGACTGGTATTTCTACCTGTAACTTGGAACCAGTTTTAACTCAGTGTTTTTGTATACTACACTGCACCTTCTGTGCTATAGGCTATTACTTAAACTCTACTTTCAGGTCTCAAATAGACAATGTGTGTCTATATTAATTGTAGTGCAAAGAAATATACTTTTCCATGCCAAGTTAGTCATTGACAATCCTTCTTAAATCCCAGTAAACTTGAGTTTTGTGAATAAGGTTAAAAGTGTAGCATAATGAAGACCACTTTTCTTTTACTTGAAGCTGTTTGTACAATTCATGGATTTTTAAAACCAGAAGGGATCATTATGATCATCTAATCTGAACTCCTGCATTTCTCTTAAAGGTGTGAAGTGATAATAAGGGAAGATAAAAAATAGTTCTGCCTTGGTATGGAAAAAACCCTTATGATTTTAAAGTTATTTTAAAAAACACCTCTGATATAAATACAGTAAGTATAATAATAGATACAGTCCTTTGGAGACTTCTGATTAGCCTTTCCTAATAAGGTATTACCGTCAGTTCCCATGGTGAGCCATTTGAAAATAAATGTCTAATCATTATTAATGAATTCAGTGTTGATTGTTATAATGCTAATGATAGTGCATTTATTTAGCTTTCAAAGGCCTGATCCCTCTCAGAGATACTCAGAACTAGTCCCTGCATGTGCCCTGAACCACCGAGCTTTGCCACTGACTTTAATGGGTGCAGGGTCAAACTCTGGCCTGAACATTCTCAGGGACAGGGTTTTGGCAGATTTTTCTTAACTATGCTTTTTTCCCCCCTTTCTTTATAATTTTAGTCAGACAAAGTAGAAATGAAGAAACACTACCAGAAATCTCTGAGGTTTCGGGTGAGTAGGTTGTGTGCTACTTTAGAGTTGCTTCAATGCTTTAAATTTTAGCCTTGGAGTTCCATGCTCCAATATTCCTTGTAGACCAAGGAATAATACTAAGAGTCAGTGACTGACTGTCATTTTAGCTTCTCACCAATTAAATCAAATGCAATGCTCATAAATATTGTTTATCATTAATAAAATATTGCCTTTGGCTGTATGACTCCCATTGACTGCAATGGGAGATAACTCTGTGAATGCATTAGATTCCAAAACTATGGCTCAGTAGAGATTTGTTAAAGAAAGAAGCCAGTGCCCAGCTTAAAATCAAATGGTAACTTTAATTAAGAAACACTAGTATGTACTTGTGATAGTAACACATGGTCTTAAATAGTAGATATCACCTTGGCTCCACGCAAGTAAATCTAAAACTCCTTCTAACTTTTAAAACTCAGTGCCTTCGATAAAATCAAGGACCCATTTTATTTTAGGGCAGTTATTTCATTTTATTCTGAAATGTAATTTTCTCAGCAAGAGTGAAAAGACACTGTACTAAAAGTTACTGAGCCACAGGTCCCCAAGCACCTCTGAAATTACAACCTACGGCTCTGCTCCTGCAAACACTTTTGTACATGCTCCACTTTAAGCTCACAAGAAGTCTCATAATTCCAAAGGCAGGGCTTGAATGCCTCAAGTTAAGCGATGCAGAAGTGTTTGCAGGATCAGAACCCAAACAGACCGAATACAAACAATGGAGGAGGGAAGGGATTCAACCTGAAGGCAAAGTGATGGAGTGGGTATATTGGACCTGTGTCTTAGGTTTGATCCTGCAAGGTGACGAGTGCCCTTGATTTTTACTGAAGTTAGTGGGAGTTGATGGTTCTCTTCAGCTCCCAGGCCTGGGCTACACTACATTTTGGAATTTAATCATTAATTAAATACTGACTAACTGTCACTGCATATTAAAATGTATGTGTCTAAATTTTGCCTTTCCTTCTGTGGGTGCATTAGAGGAGAGACAGTGGCCAGGGGAAACTCCTTCCCCAGTCAGTACTTTTTTTTTCAGGAGTCAGGTACAATCCATCTCTCAGCACTGGGAAGAAAAAGGATGGAGTCAATAGCTAGTGGTTAACGGCATTTCTCAGGGTGGAAGCATTTTGGGGGAGGTTGAAGGCAGGGTTCTGACCTCCATGAGCCCCTTTTGCTCCCTCACCACAGCAGCAGCAGAGTAGGGTCTAAGCCAGGAGCCACTTCCAGGAGCGGCTCCTTTTAAGACACAGCACCTGGTTCAGGGGTCTCAAACTCCCGGCCCATGGGCCATCTGTGGCCCACGAGCCTCCCCAGTGTGGGACTCCAACAGTTTTGGGCTGAGTCTCTCCCTTGACCCCACCTGCAGCCCCCAGGTGCTCCCCCCTCAGGGGCCCCGGCAGCGCAGCGGAGCTGAGCAGCATCTGCCTGCTCATTCCAGTGGCTGCCGGCCCCTCCCTGCGGTATAGGGGCGGGGCAGGGCTGTGCCTCCATGCGCTGCCCCCGCCCCGAGTGCCCCTGCGGCCCGCCCTGCCTTGGAGCCCCAGGTATGCGCCGCAACCCCAACCCCCTCCCAGAGCCTGCATCCCAACCCCCTCCCCCCATACTCCCTCCCACCCCCAAACTCCCTTCCAGAGCCTGGACCCCCTTCCCCTTCCCACACACCCCCTCCCACCCCAAAGGTCCCTCCCAGAGCCTGCGCCCCATCCCCACACACCCCCAGCCCCCAAACTCCCTCCCAGAGCCTGCACCCGGTCCCCGCACCCCCTCCCACCCCCAGACTCCCTCCCAGAGCCTGCGACCCATCCCCACACACCCCCAGCCCCCAAACTCCCTCCCAGAGCCCGTACCCCAGCCCCCCTCCCCCACCCAAACTCCCTCCCAGAGCCTGCATCCCCTCCCCCCACATACCCCAGCCCCCAAACTCCATCCCAGAGCTGCACCCCAGACCCCCTCCCACCCCCAAACTCCCTCCCAGAGCCCAACCTCTCACCCCTTCTGCACCCAAACTCCCTCCCAGAGCCTGCACCCCAATCCTCTACCCCAGACCTCCTCCTCCACCCAAACTCCATCCCAGAGCGTTAGGCAGGTGGGGGGTGGAGTTTTGGGGAGGCGGGTTCTGGGCGAGTGACCTTGGCCCTCTGGGAGGATTTGAGGACTGGCACTGGCCCTAAGGTAAATTGAGTTTGAGACCCCTGACCTGGTTGGTACAGCTTCCTTTCTCTCCCCAAAGCAGAGTTTCCACTTGGAAAGAATCAGGAAGAAAAAGAGGGAACCGCATGTGAAAAATACACTTATTGGAAGGCACACCGAAACTATGATAATGTGGGCAATAAACGATCCTGAATGGGATAGAAGAGAATGGTTGCCTTGGAGGAAGCGTTGCCTACACCTGTTGTATAGTTATAGCAGGGAGTGCCCTTCCTCGTGCTCCCCACAGGTCCCTGGAGGTATTATGGCTTTGAAAATCATAATACTTCTCAGAAATGATTGTGAGGTGAGCCATCACCCCCTCTCCTAAACCCTCATCATGTTTCAGGTTCATCAGCACCATAACTGAGCCCACATCATTTAATTATTAAGAGCAATGCTACAGGTAAATATCTAAGACATTGTTAATAATCCTCAGTAACTATATGAAAATCTGAGACGTGTGGATCTGAGACGTGTGAAGTAAGGGCAGAAGAAAGCTCCTGGTGTTTTCCTAGAGATGGTGTTGCTTGTCAGTTACTCAGAGATAGATGGACACTGTATGTTGACTGTTCAGCTTTCATGTGCAATGATTATTAAATCTAGCCATGTTCACTACAGAATGTAAACAAGTTATAGTCATTGTCAAGTCTTAATTGAACTGTGCTCTTCAACAGCTTGATGCGGCATCAGTAATACCAGCTGATGTTTTATACTTCATCTTTGGATTTAACCCAGTGTTTAGAGCAAACAAGCTGTTAAAGGTAAGACCAGAGAATTTATTATGAATGCTCGTCCACTGGAAAATATGAAAAGTTTAAAAACTATTGAAGATTTAGTATAAATATTTGGGAGTCTTTAGTTTCTGATTTTGTGAATGTTTCTAAGAATCTAAGCTACATAATCAAACTACCACCAAATAAATAAGTAAAATATGTTGTTTTAATAATAGGATAATTGTTCTGGTTATTTTTCAGCTGATTTTACTTATATTTACTTTCTGACTTGTAAACAATATTTCTGTGATCTAGACTAGTTTGTTTCTACTAGTTTAAATTGAAATTGTTTTAAATACCCTATTTAATTTGCAAAAAAACATTTAAAAAACCAGTTAAGATTGCTAAATGAGAATAATGTACTTACTGCTTACCTATCACATTACTTACAAAATTCAACCACTTAAAAGCAAGGGAGTGGATGGTTAAGGACAACATATATCTTACACTGCCCATTTAATAAAAATAAGCATATTTTTCTTATCAAGTGCAAGAAATGTACAGCACCCAGTATGGAGGGGGTGGGAAAGAGACAGATTATAACTCTGCCCCATCTCTACATCACCTTGCAGAACAGGTCAGCTGTATCATGGGAAGGTGCAGCCTGCACAGCCCCCTGCATCAGCCCAATTTTTTTTGAGCTGCCAATAAGGCAGTGGAGCACCACATACCCACCCACCTCCCAACTCAGGCTAGTGGCTAACTGCCACCCTTTGGCCCTGGCATTTTACTATTCCTGCTCTTGAAAAACTCCCTGCTGAATTAGTCAGTGTCAAAATCTCTCTCTTTGTTACGTGTACAAAGCACTTTTCACATTATCTAAGCACTGCACAATGGGAATGGCATCTGTTATAGTGGCAAAACCCTTTCTGGAAGTCTATTTTATATGCAAACGTATGCTAAAGATTTACCTAAGGAAATAGCTTCCCTTATCATATTTAGTAGCCCTATACTGACTAAGAAATTTGGGCTGGTGAGAAGGGGTGTCATTGGTTTGATTGATTTTTAATGTCCTGACTGGCAACATGGAACCAAAATGGTAAGGAAGAATGTAAAGCAAAATGCTATATAACAGGGGTCGGCAATGTTCGGCACGCGGCTCACCAGGGTAAGCACCCTGGCGGGCCGGGCCAGTTTATTTACCTGCTGACGCGGCAGATTCGGCCGATCGCGGCCCCCACTGGCCGCGGTTCGCCGTCCCAGGCCAATGGGGGCGGCGGGAAGCTGAGGCCAGCACATCCCTCGGCCTGCGCCGCTTCCGGCCGCCCCCATTGGCCCAGGACGGCGAACCGCGGCCAGTGGGGGCCGCGATCGGCCGAATCTGCCGCGTCAGCAGATAAATAAACTGGCCTGGCCCGCCAGGGTGCTTACACTGGTGAGCTGCGTGCCGAACGTTGCCGACCCCTGCTATATAATATCAGGCAAGTAAATTTGTGCTAGACAGAAAACAGCAAAAAGTACCTGTTAATGTTTAGGCGTATAGCAAAACTAAAGTAAAAAGAGTTAATGTGGGAGGAATTCAACACAGGAGTAGATTAACTAACCTTTAAAAATTCATCATGAGACCTCAAGTGATGTTACAGTCTGGGATACCCTCAACTAACTAGGAAATGACAGGGATTTCAAGAAGAGGGGAAAGGATTTTTTTAAATGATTAATTTACTTTGGCAAAATTATGTTCAGCCTAAGCAAGTACATTTTTAACTGAGTAAAAAGTCATTCAGCAACATCATCAGTCATCACAGTAAATGGCAAGCAGGCACGTCATTTGCTATGGGACAAAGAGGTCAGTTGCCCCTTCCATACGTTGGTTTGCCCCCACCCCCAGACTTTTCATAGGTCTGTATGCGCCATTTTTTGCCTCCACCAACTTTATACGTAATTATATCCTGTAATATTCTATATGCCAACATAACTTTGCCCTGCTCCAAATTTTACTGAAATGACTCCCCTAATGACAAGACATCATCCATAACATAGCTAATAGGGACAAACAACACCAAAATCTATGCTGAGCTCAATTTTTCATTTTAGCTTCACAGTTCACCTTTAAACTAGATGTTTAAGGAATGTCAGACAAGTGAAAAATACATTATTTTCAAAATATGTATGTGAACCAATGTCAGTCCCATTAGAAAAATATATGTTATAAGGACCATGGTTCGATTGCTTTTATTTGGTTTCCGTCTAGCATATGGCCTTCTTTGAGTTCAATGACCGGTTGGAAGCTATCCTGGATAAAGCATACATCTACAGGTACGTGAGGGGTAGACTTACAGTATGCAAAGGTTGGCACAGAATTTCAATCATTGTCCTGAACATGCGGGAAGAAAGACAAGATGCCAGGCATGAATTTTCCCAGTCCCAAAAAAGGCAACTAATGCAATGACTACAACAGACCAAAAAGGGGAGAGAAGAGCTGTTAATCCAGGCATGAAAGGGGGTTCAGGTTGGAGGCACAGGGTACCCTCCCCCAGGTATGGAGGGGTTAATGGCTTACTTGAGCCCCACCAGCCCATCCACTGGCTCAGATGATACCTTTTCTCCACTACTGGTCACCCCAACTCCCAACCCCAAGGGTGGGGGGACCCTTAAAGGAGCCATTGCCCTTTTTCCCACCAGTCCAGACAAAGCCTTTTTGGTTGTGGGGGTTGCATTCTGTCTCCCAGGTTGTCAGTCAAGCACAGTGTTGAATATGCTAAACCCCAAACGACTCCTCTCGGTTATTTTTTAACTGTCTCTCTTCATTATAGGCCCTGACCCTACAAACACTAATGTATATGGGTAATCTTATTCATATGAGTTATCCCATTCCATTCAGTTTGATTGGCCTGCTAAACCCAGGGTTGTGAGTTCAATCCTTGAGGGGGCCACTTAGGGATCTGGGGCAAAATCAGTACTTGGTCCTGCTAGTGAAGGCAGGGGGCTGGACTCGATGACCTTTTGGGGTCCCTTCCAGTTCTATGAGATAGGTATATCTCCATATATTATTTTTTATTATTATCAGGGGCACATGTCACCACACCAGACAGAATCTGAAGACCCATAAAGGGTTTATTTAATGGGATCATTATTGGAGACTTCCTTTGCTTATGTCTGAAGTAAGATTCTGTGTGGTAGTTTTCTGGCACATAGCAGCAGTCATGATACCAAGGTTGTCTGAATGTTTTTCTTTATGCACTGCTTTCACCTTGCCTTTGCTATGTACAGAATCTTCCTCCAATCACCCTCTTAGCTGAACATGGGGTGAGAATCAATGCAGCATAGACCTTGGAGAGTGGTGACTTTGTGCCTTCTTTATTACAGGCTGCTCTAGGAAGCAAAACAGCTCCTAAATAATAGCACTACCCTATGGGCTGCACTGTGGCTAAGAATGCTCATAATGCTGCTCCCAACTTAATCAGCCCCGCCCCCTCGCCCCCAGTCGTGCAATGTCATTTGCCTTATACCACGTCTTGTGGAGGGTGGCTTGTAGAGCAGCACAGGTTGCCGTATGTAATGCCCGCAGCCGGAAAAATTTCCTCCACGCAGCTCTGGGGCTTATATGGTTCTTGTATGCTGCTGCCGTGGGAGCAAGAATCCCTTCCATGACACCTTGTTATATTTCAGACAATTAGATTTAAATGATAGACTTGGGATTCTTGCATTACAAACCAAATATTTTATGAGATTTAGGCACAGAAGTTACATTCAAAAGGAAGGGAGAATATTATCTGTGTGTTACAACCTAATACAGGGGTCGGCTACATTTGGCACGCGGCTCGCCAGGGTAAGCACCCTAGTGGGCCGGGCCAGTTTATTTACCTGCTGACGTGGCAGGTTCGGCCGATCGCGGCCCCCACTCGCCGCAGTTCGCCGTCCCGGGCCAATGGGGGCGGCGGGAAGCGACGCGGGCGAGGGATGTGCTGGCCGCGGCTTCCCACAAAACAGAGATTGATGTCGTGGAACTTCATCTTATGTTTTTAGCTTAATCTTAAGTATTTCTTAGGTGCTTATCATCATGGTATCTAGATGCCATTTGAAATTAAAATTCATAGGCCCATTTACTGCGCTTGACCAGTGTGCATGACTCCCTTGCATTTCAAAATCCAGTTCAAAAATACCTTCCTTACCTGAAACCTTTGAAGAAATTGCTGTAGCTAATTTCACAGACCTTGTCTTTCCCTCTTCCCCACCCTCTTCACTCATTTAGCACCAGATTCCTCTCTGTTCTGTTAGCGCAAGGGCCTTCTCCTGTGCAGCACCTACCAGATGAAGCAATCTTGCTACAGCTCTCTATATGGACTCTACATCTCATCTCATTTCCAGTCTCATCTTAAAATTTATTCTCTCTTGCCTTGCCTAGACCTTTTAATTTCTTCCTCTTTAGGATTTACTATTTTAACTCTGTAACCATATTTATAAATGATATGAGGTGTATTGTATAATAATCGTCAACACTTACGTGGTGCCATCCATGCAGATGCTTCACAAACGTTAATTGATTATACCTCACAAGTCTCCTGTGAGAGAGGTACGATAAATATTATCCCCATTTTCCAGATGGGGCACAGAGAAAGTAAGTAGACTTGCCCAGGGTCACATAGTGAGTGTGAGAGCTAGAATTAGAACCGACATCTCCTGAGGTAGCTACTAAACTACATTAACCTCTTTGCTGAAGGACTTAGGATATAGTTTATATAAAAGACAATATTCAAATCAAAATTGTGTTGCATGCTCAATGAGGGCACCATATTTCCCTTTTTAAAAAATTGGGTGAATTACGTGCTCAAGAGACTGAGGAACCAAAAGTAGGAACGGGCATTTTGCAAGCTTCCTCATGCAGCTCTCAATACACATAATTTCTGACCTGAAACACCTACTGCTCCAGCCCTGAGCCTGTCTTCAGCAGAGTCTACAATACATTGATTCATACCCTACAATCCCATTAATACAGTTTCACCTTTCTATAAACATTTATAACCAGTTAAACCAATGGTTTATGAAGTCCTAAGAGAAACATAATTTAGGAATGACCCTGCATCAACTATTCTATGAAGGTGATTCATTTGGCCTTTGGAGGAAGGCAGAGGCAGGAGATGGCACAGTGGAAAAACAGCTAGCAAATACCAGTCAAGATGCTGTATTGCGGCAAGTAATAGCCAGTATTAATACAGCTATTGATCAAAATCAGGGAGTTCCATAGTAAAGGGAAAATAAAAATAAGCTATTTTCCAGGAATTATATCAGCTGTGATTTGCAATATGTTGTCCTTTACAGAGTCATTCGAACAACTGGATACCTGCTGTTTATCTTGCACATTAATGCATGTATTTATTACTGGGCTTCAGATTTTGAAGGAATTGGCAGCACCAGATGGGTGTATGATGGCAAAGGAAATATGTAAGTCCTTCTTTTGCAAAAGATTTTTGTTGATTTTTTTCCCAGCTTTGCTTGCAAGGTCTGCCCTTATTTTTATAACTGCTTGGATAGCTAACTTTTAGCACCATTACTGCTGATTGTGGGTAATGAATGGTGCTAATTATTTGGAGGGCAGGTGCAGTGAATAATTATTTTACCACTTTCCATTTTTATGGGTTTATGAGTCAGTTCTAACCACTAACTTAATTAAACATTTAAAATGCAACGCGGGTCATAAATTAAACTTACTTTTAGGTATGCACATGGGAAGTGTTACAATCATTTGAAAGAGTCAGGGGAGTGGAATTGGGACAGACTATACTTCAAGGAAGCATCATGTAATTTAATATAACATTTTACCCCCTCTAGACTCCATGGTTATTGGTCTGAAAGAGGTCCCACAGGGTTTCTGTCATTTTCGACGAAGGTCATGCTTAAGCATGTGGTAAAAAAAATCTCCAGTGGGAAGGCGTAGGTATTGGCATACTCTGCCAATGGCTGCTCACAGCAACTGTGGAACTGGTGCCAAGGAATAGCTGTTAATTAAGATGAAGGAAAGAAAGAAGGAAAAATAGCAAAGTTATACAGTATATATTGTAGGTATAGATGTATAAAAGCATTTGAATTTCTTTCAAGGACAGTGATAAATTTAAAGCTACAGAGACCTAAATTTGTCCATTCGTTACATACTTTGAAAAAGAACAGGAAACTGGCAATGTAAGTAAGTCTTAATCCAGCTGTAGCCATTATCTTTAATAATGTGCAAACATGGAGCATTAGCTTGTGATTTTATCAGACTTAATGAGCAATGCAATGTTAAGCAGGGAATCAGCATTTTGATGGGAGATCTGCAAAAGAAACCCAGATGCTGCAGAAAGTGGAGTAGGCATATTTGAGGATGGAAGATCATATGGAAGGCAGTATTATTAATCAATGATTATTAGTAGTAATTAGGTTATTTCTAAGAAAAAATAAGCTTCAGTATATGCCTTAAGTTTCCATATCCCACTACAGTCCTGGGCTCTGGTCCTGCAAACAGATAGTCCTTCTGAACACACTAGGCCTATTCATAAAATTAAAGCTAAACACGTGTAATTATTGATAAAATCAGAGCATCAGATTGCCAGGATTCTGACAAGAATGAGTAAGAGTGAATTTCAAGTATAGATGTTTAAGTCAGTGTCATTCTTGATTTACTTGCCTTGTAATTAAGGAGGGACCTAGACAACCAGCTCCTGCCTCATACTGATTCTGGGCAACATAATGAGTGCTCTGTCAGTAGAGAACTTACTTTGTCCTTTAAAATTCTAGTTTCTTCTGGAACGGACAAGAAGACAAAAGCAGAAGGTCTTCACATTTTTGGTGGACAGAAATATTTTATATTTACATTTAGAAGACCTACTAGTTCTTCTTTGAGTGGTTGCAGATACGTAGTTCACCCAGGTATGCGCGTGCCTAGTACACCGAAGCCAGAGAACTGTGCTTAGCAATACCCATCAGGGCGGTGCTTGCGTTCTCTGGCCCTAGAAGCCCCTCCGTGGCTATATAAGGCTGGTGCTGCCCTAACCTACCTCAGTTTCTTCTCACTGCCTGCAGCTTGAATCAGAGCATTCAGTGTGGTGTTCACCTCACATTTGTTATCACAGTGTTTCAGTGGTTGTTTTTTTTCTGTAAATAGTTAGTTTAGTAGTACCTTAAGTGTCACGTAGGTATTAGAGTTTAGTCCGGGGTAATGCCTTCTCTGGGTTTCAAACATTTTGCACTGTGTGGGGTGGCTATATTTACTAGTGACCCCCACTCGATGTTTCCTGTGCCTTGGGGAAGAGCACATTAAGGAAAGGTGCACTGTTTGCTTGTCCTTTAAGAAGAGATCTTAGGTGGCAAGGGACTTGCGTTTGAAGAAGCACCTCATGGAGGAGGCCCTGAGGTCCACTTCAGCTCCAGGGACTGCCACAGATCCTCAGGTTCCTTCAGAGAGCTCCTGAGCCAGTATGGACTTGGGGTCCATGTCCGGACTCATTCACCCAGGAGGAAGAGGGATCATTCCCCTTTCTCTGGTTCCCCAAAGAAGAGAACCCATAAAACGAACCTGAGGCTGCTCCAGAATCTGAAAAGATTCTTCTTCCTCCTCATCTAGGAGGAATGCAGACTGGCATGTGAGTCTCCCAGTAAGTGGGAAAGAGCCAGGTCGTCAACCGACTCTGTACCATCAACTCCAGTACTGCTCCAAAGTTGTCCGTTGAGTCTGATACTGATGACAGTGATGTCGGCACCAACAGTCTCCACACTGCCAATGTATCAGGAAGCAGTGGAGTTGCTGGGCTTGCCTGTTCCTGACTCACCACTCATTCAAGAGCATTTGACTATGGTGGTCTTGCCTTCGGCGTTGTTGGCACCCCCAGCATTGGTGACCGACTTATCAGTGTCAGCACTATCATCTACACTACCTCATACCCAGGGCCCTGGGTTTCAGTCAGCTTCCAGTTTGATACTGAGGAGACTGCCAGTGCAGATGCTATCTTCAGTACCAATGACAATTCCAGTGCAGTCTACATCTGGGGGTCTGGTACCAACTTCATTTCAGTATGCCATAAGTCTGGATGAAGCATGCGCTGCATCCAGAGCTGACTGTAAAGATATCTTGGTCCCCACACGGCCTTCTGCAATAATGATGGGGTCTATATTCTTCCGTAAATTGCACTCAGATCAAGATGAGTGACATCTCCATATGTTAGAGGTGAAGCAGTGCTTGGTGTCCTATCTGGAAAGGACTAAACCATTTTGTTCATCACCTTGGCTTTTTGTCTCCTGTGTGGATTGAATGAATGTGCCACCATTCTCCACAAAGACAATTTCCCAGTGGATAACTTCCTGCATTATCATGGCTTTTGAAGTAGCTCAGGCTACATTCCCACAGTCAATATAGGCTCATTTCACAAGATCCCAAGCGACATCCATTGCATTTCTTAGGGCAGGTCTACACTATGGGATCAATGCTCTGAGATCGATCCACTGGCAGTCAATTTAGCGGGTCTAGTAAAGACCTGCCAAATCGACTGCAGATTGTTGTCCAGTCGATCCCTGTACTCTACCCCTGATGAGAAGAGTAAGGTAAGTCGACGGGAGATTTTCTCCCATCGACCCCCCCACAGTGTAGACCCCATGGTAACTCGACATAAGGTACGTTGACTCCAACTATGTTATTCATGTAGCTGGAGTTGCATAGTGTAGGTCAACTTACCGCGGTAGTGGAGACATAGCCTTAGTGATGTTTCAATACTGGTCATCTGCAGGCCTGCTACATGGTCTTCCATACATACTTTTGCCAAACATTATGCATATACCATGGCATCTAGGTTGGACGCAAACTTTGGGAAGGCAGTTCTGCAGTCATTGTTTAAGTGGACTCTGACTCCCACCTCCTGAGAGTACTGCTTGTGAGTCACCTGAGCAGAATGCACATCTGCATCCACTCCAAGAAGAAAGGAGGGTTACTTACTGTATTGTAAGCGTTGTTCTTCAAAGTGTGGGTGCAGACGTATATTCCACAACCCACCCTCCCTCTCCTCTGAAGATGACCTTTTACAACACCAACATATGATCTCACCGCTATTTCCGTGTATCATTGTACTTATAAAGAAGGAATCAGATGTAATCAGCAATTTATTTCATATGTGCTTGGAATGCACCAATGTGTATTTTTCAAATACAGCTGATTCAAAAGCATTGCACTGCACTGCACTGAACATTTCAACACCTAACTTCTAGGCGACTAGCCAACCAATGGAAGCCACAAACGCTGGGTTAGACACCTAGGCTCCCTCTGTAATGCAAGGGGAGAGAGAGTCACCTGAGAATGGGATCTATAAAAGCCAGCACACTAGGTGGGGAGCTGCCTAAACGAGGCAATACCAGATGACAAGGAGAGGGATGGGTTCTAAGCCCCAGCACCCTCTCAGAGTTAGTGGCCCAAGTCTAGGCTGGAGGAAGATACCTATCTCTGCTTGGGATCCACAGAGGGAGTCTTTCCTGGAGTCATGTGCCTAAGCTGTTTCTTGCAAGAACAGAGGCAGCACATGCCTAACTCCAGACCAAGCAGCTGGGTGCTGGGATGAGGAGGAGAGGCGGGAAACCCCTGTTCAAATCCCTTGTCATCAGGCAAAGGGGGGAACTGGGGGGGCTCCCACATCCCAGGTGAGTTCCCTAACCCCTGGCTAAAAGTTATAACGGAAGCCACTGCACCCTCCTTCCCCAGCTATTTGGTGTAGAGCTAAGTGTGGATCCGGCCCGGCAGGTGGGAGGTGGGGGCAACATCTATCTTCACCAGTGTAACTCGGTGCTAGTGTACTCACCACTACGAGCCCTCTCGTGGGCAGGCATGGTGCCACAGCTCTCACGCCAGGATAGTGCCCCCTTTTGGCAGTTGCTTCAGCACTGTGGTGTTTTCTCTGTCAGGTAACTCAATCCTCCGGTGGGGTCACCATCTTTAGTCTACCCCTTCCAGGTCCCAATTGTCCAAAATGTCCTTAACAGAAACAGAACAAAATTTCTGCCCTCTCTGGGGCTCTACTTCAGAGAGTCCTCAATTCTGTCTGCAGGCCCCGTGCTGAGCTCAACTACCCTTCTGAAAGGCTTGTAACTCCCTCTATGGGGCCAGTGGGGGAACCCAGCCTCACCCTGAACTCTGGGTTCCAGCCCAGGGTCCTGTGATGCACAGCTAGTCACAACCCTCTACCCACATAGCAGTTTTCCCTAGGCCAATGCCTACCTGGCTCTTTCCTCCCTTCTGAATCTCCCAGTCTCATCCCCCGTTATTCAGGGTATCTCCCAGGCCTCCCTGCTGACTCCAGGACCTATAGGTGCCTTCTGGCTCCCTGCAGTCTTTTCCATCCAGCCTTTCTCCAGCTGGTCCTCTCAACACTTAAATCTGACTCCTTTTATACAAAAGTCAGCTGATTCCTTTCAGGTTTTCCAGTCAATAG